GTGTGTGTGTGTGTGTGTGTGTGTGTGTGTGTGTGTGTCTGTGTGCGAAAAAGAGAGAGTGATTCTGCTTTTACAACCTTGACTGGACATTTCCTGATGTCATCACCTACCTTGTCAGGACCAGCAGGCCTTCTGAGGACCACAGTCAGAACATGCTGTGTGAGGGAAACCAGGTTCAGAGCTTCAGGTGTAAATTGATTTTAAGTTCATGGTAAAAATAAGGCTACACAAATGAATTGAAGTCAGAGCAATGTCTAATAAAAGAAGGAATATAACTGTGTGAGTGTGTGTGTGTGCCTGTTTGTGTGTGTGTGAGCGTGTGTGCGTTGGGGTCGCACCCTGCAGAAGGGGAGTGTTTCCTGATGGGGAGGGGGAACTGAAGCAAGACCAGCTCCTTGAGTCCACGACTCACTGAAGCTTTGGACTCAAACTGAGCTGCACAGACAGACAGCGTCTGTGTCCAGGAGTGTGTGCACGTGTGTCAGTTAGTTGTGTGTTCATGTGTGTGTGTGTGTGTGTGTGTGTGTGTGTTAGAATCGAGCGGGTAGATTGGACGTCAGCTGCAGATTCTGGAGTTTTTCCAGCAGCAAGAAGGGAATTTCTTAGCTGCAGGTAAGATGTGTTTCTACATGTTTTTCTTTGTGTTGTGGGATTTATTTGTTGAAATCTTCAGAAACTTTATTTAAAGATGACTAAATCTGTTAATTAAGATCTAGTTTTAATTCAATAGTTCCTCTATCAAAAAAAAGCTTCAGACACTTTGACCTGACAGTTGGAAGTACTACACCCACAGGGGGCACCATCACTGATGAACTTCTTCACAGTTAAATTAAAGTGTTTTTTTATTTTGTTCTCAAAATTGATTTTCCATCATGTGATTGAACTGAACACACATTACATCCTATTTAAACAGTCTGTATGGCCTCTGTGTGTTCATGAACCAATCAGAACCTAAACGACCCAAACACAATCCTGTTTAAACTTTTATAGCTGGGCTGCATTCAGGTGCTTAAAGACAAATTTCATGTATATGAGTTTAAATAATCTACAGTTTTACTTTGAGTTTCACTCAATAAGAGACGATTCACAATAAACACAATCTGTACACAATCAGTCTTTACACTGGCCTCACACTGATAAAACAAGGAACCAAGAACATTTTTGATAGCTCAAGAAGTTGATCCACAGCTGCACAAATATCCTGAATCAAAAACATGTTCAGGAAACACAATCAGGAAGAATTATTAAACAGCACCAGATGAAAAACCCACAAGGAAACATCACCAGGAAAAAAAACAACAGGAAACAACCAACAGGAAACAACCAAGAGGAAACAATCAAGAGGAAACAACCAACAGGAAATAAAAAACAGGAAACAACCAACAGAAACAACCAACAGAAACAACCAACAGGAAACAACCAACAGGAAACAACCAAGAGGAAAAAACCAAGAGGAAACAACCAAGAGGAAACAACCAACAGGAAACAAAAAACAGGAAACAACCAACAGGAAACAGCCAGCAGAAACAACCAATAGGAAACAACCAACAAAAAACAACCACTAGGAAACAGCCAACAGGAAACAACCAATAAGAAACAACCACTAGGAAACAACCAGTAGGAAACAACCACTAGGAAACAACCAATAAGAAACAACCAACAGGAAACAACCANTAGGAAACAACCAGTAGGAAACAACCACTAGGAAACAACCAATAAGAAACAACCAATAAGAAACAACCACTAGGAAACAACCAGTAGGTAACAACCACTAGGAAACAACCAATAGGAAACAACCACTAGGAAACAATCAATAGGAAACAACTTACAGGAAACAAACAATAGGAAACAACCAACAAAAAACAACCACTAGGAAACAACCAACAGGAAACAACCACTAGGAAACAACCAACAGGAAACAACCAACAGGAAACAACCACTAGATAACAACCAATAGGAAACAACCAACAGGAAACAATCAATAGGAAACAACTTACAAGAAACAAACAATAGGAAACAACTAACAGGAATCAATCAATAGGAAAATACCATAAGGAAACAACCAATAGCAAACAACCAACAGGAAAAAACCTAACAGGAATCAACCAACAGAAAACTGCCAACATGAAACAACAAATATGAAACAACCAACAGGAAATCACCAACAGAGACAACCAATAGGAAACAACAAATATGAAACAACTAACAGGAAATCACCAACAGAGACAACCAATAGGAAACAACCAATAGGAAACAAACAACAGGATACGACCAACAGGAAACAACCAACAGGAAACAACCAGCAGAAACAACCAATAGGAAACAACTAACAGGAAACAACCAATAGGAAATAACCAAGAGGAAACAACCAATAGGAAACAACCAACAGGAAACAACCAACAGGAAACAACCAGCAGAAACAACCAATAGGAAACAACTAACAGGAAACAAACAATAGGAAATAACCAAGGGGAAACAACAAACAGGAAACACCGAACAGGAACCAACAAACAATAACAACCAATAGGAAACAACCAACAGGAAACGACCAACCGGACACAATCAACAGGAAACAACAAATAGGAAACAACCAATGGGAAACAACCAATGGGAAAAAACCAACAGGAAACAACCAACAAAAACAAACAACAGGAAACAACCAATAGAAAACAACCAACAGGAAACAACCAATGAAAACAACCAATAGAAAACAACCCACAAAATCAACCAATAGGAAACAACCAACAGGAAACAACCAACAGGAAACAACCAATAGGAAACAACCAACAGGAAACAACCAACAGGAAATAACCAATAGGAAATAACCAGCAGAAACAACCAAAAGGAAACAACTAACAGAAAACAACCAATAGGAAACAACTAATAGGGAACAACCAGTAGAAAAGAACCAACAGGAAATAACCAACAGGAAACAACCAACAGGAAACAACCAACAGAAACAACCAACAGGAAACAACCAACAGGAAACAACCAAGAGGAAAAAACCAAGAGGAAACAACCAAGAGGAAACAACCAACAGGAAACAAAAAACAGGAAACAACCAACAGGAAACAGCCAGCAGAAACAACCAATAGGAAACAACCAACAAAAAACAACCACTAGGAAACAGCCAACAGGAAACAACCAATAAGAAACAACCACTAGGAAACAACCAGTAGGAAACAACCACTAGGAAACAACCAATAAGAAACAACCAACAGGAAACAACCAGTAGGAAACAACCAGTAGGAAACAACCACTAGGAAACAACCAATAAGAAACAACCAACAGGAAACAACCAGTAGGAAACAACCAACAGGAAACAACCAGTAGGAAACAACCAACAGGAAACAACCAGTAGGAAAAAACCAACAGGAAACAACCAATAAGAAACAACCACTAGGAAACAACCAGTAGGAAAAAACCAATAAGAAACAACCAACAGGAAACAACCAATAAGAAACAACCACTAGGAAACAACCAGTAGGAAACAACCAATAAGAAACAACCAACAGGAAACAACCAATAAGAAACAACCACTAGGAAACAACCAGTAGGAAACAACCACTAGGAAACAACCAATAAGAAACAACCAATAAGAAACAACCACTAGGAAACAACCAGTAGGTAACAACCACTAGGAAACAACCAATAGGAAACAACCACTAGGAAACAATCAATAGGAAACAACTTACAGGAAACAAACAATAGGAAACAACCAACAAAAAACAACCACTAGGAAACAACCAACAGGAAACAACCACTAGGAAACAACCAACAGGAAACAACCAACAGGAAACAACCACTAGATAACAACCAATAGGAAACAACCAACAGGAAACAATCAATAGGAAACAACTTACAAGAAACAAACAATAGGAAACAACTAACAGGAATCAATCAATAGGAAAATACCATAAGGAAACAACCAATAGCAAACAACCAACAGGAAAAAACCTAACAGGAATCAACCAACAGAAAACTGCCAACATGAAACAACAAATATGAAACAACCAACAGGAAATCACCAACAGAGACAACCAATAGGAAACAACAAATATGAAACAACTAACAGGAAATCACCAACAGAGACAACCAATAGGAAACAACCAATAGGAAACAAACAACAGGATACGACCAACAGGAAACAACCAACAGGAAACAACCAGCAGAAACAACCAATAGGAAACAACTAACAGGAAACAACCAATAGGAAATAACCAAGAGGAAACAACCAATAGGAAACAACCAACAGGAAACAACCAACAGGAAACAACCAGCAGAAACAACCAATAGGAAACAACTAACAGGAAACAAACAATAGGAAATAACCAAGGGGAAACAACAAACAGGAAACACCGAACAGGAACCAACAAACAATAACAACC